TCCTGACTGGTTGAGCTGTGCTAGAAAGAAACAAGGAGAGTTTCTGTCATCTCTGCAGGAAGACTGATGACCTTAAAAATGAAAGGTTTAGCATGGGAGGCAACTGAACTGGTTTCATTAGCTGCATCTACCTGAATTTTGCCAGTGGTGGGTTTTACTGTAAGTAGACACTCCAAAAGCAGCTGGGACTTAGGGAGCTAACTAGGAATTTACTTGAAGGAAAGAGTAATTTCAGCTGCAAAGCTGTAACAGTCAATCTAATAGTGAGCAACTGCTACAATGTAATCTGGTGAACAGGCTGAGCTACTATTTCTGATCCCCTGTCACATGAAAAGGTCCCATCATGTCTCAATTGCTGTGCAGTTCTGTGGGTTTTTACTGCTGTTCTGCAACCCACACGTCCTCTCACTTCAGAATGTTTTCAATGTTTCATAACCTTAAAATCACAAGCAACCTAGGAGAGCTTGCTTGTGCTTATTTATGCTGCTGATGGACTTTTCATAGTGATGAAAAATATTCAGCTTCACTGTCATTCTGAAGAACCATATAATCATACCATTGTTTGGAAAGGAATCCTTAGGAAAGATCATCAAGTTAACCCAGCACTGCCAAGCCCACTAGTAAACCATGTCTCTAAGTGCCACATCTACATGGTCCTTTTAAATACCACTAGGGATGGTGACTTCACCATTTTCCTGGGCAGGCTTTTCCAAAGCTTGATTACCATGTCTTCACCACAGCAAAGAAAGTTTTCCAAATATCCACTCTGAACCTTTCCTGGCCCCAGTTGAGGCCATTTCCTTATCCTGTTGCTTGTTACCTAGAATTTGCCAACTCTCATCTGGCTACAATCTCCTTTCAGAGTAATAAGGTCTCCCTTGGGCCTTCTTTTCTCCAGAGCTGGGGCTAGACAACCCCAGCTCCTTCAGCTGCTTCTTGTAAGACTTGTGGTCTTCTACTCAGGACTGAGGCAAACAAGGCAATAAGTACCTCAGCCTTTACTTTCATCCTTTGTCACTGTGTTTCCTCTGGCATCCAATAAAGGAGGGAGATTCTCCTTAGCCCTCCATTTGTTGCTGATTTATTTAAGAAGGATTTTTTTATTGTGTGGTAGTTGACAGGTAAAGTTCTATCTGGGCTTTGGCCCTTCTAATTTTCTCCCGCCATAAAACTTCATGACATTCCTGTCCTCCTGAGTTTCCTGCCCCTTCTTCCACAGGTCATAAACTCTCTTTTTTTCCCAAGTTCCAGCCAACACTCTCTGTTGAGCTGCACACTTCAGGAACCTTCTCAACTGCTTTCTCTCTGCTGTTTTTGGAGACATCTGTTAAGTTGAAGTCCCCCACAAGAACAAGGACTAGCAATTGTGAAATGCTCAGCTGCTTATAGAGTCTTTCATCTGCCTCTTCACCCTGGATGGTGAGCTCTAACAGATTTCCACCAAGTTATCTGACTTGTTGGCCTACCCCCCTGATTTTCACCTATAAAGGCTCAACCTTTCTGACACCATCATTAAGCTCTAGAAAATCAAAACACTCCTTAACATACATGGCTACTCCAGAAGGAAGTCAGGGTGTGAAGCAGAGAGTGTCAGCCTTGGATGGCCACCTGCACATTGAGAAGAGTGGAAAGAGACATTGTTCTGGGAAGGGAAACTCAATCCATACATTCTGCACAGGCTATTTTTACTGCCAGGCATAACAGAAGAGGGAACTTACATGTGCCCTTACATGGTTTTGCACCTCAGCTCCCTCTGCAAATCCCCAGACATGGAGATGGTGACAGAAGATTTAACTAAGATTGCGGAGGCAGGGGAGTACAGGCAGGAGAAAGGGAGATCTGTTGGAAAGAGAGAAAAGTACTCTTTGAAGAGAAATCTGTCCCAGAGGCTGTAGTTGTACTAAGCTAAACATCAGTGGGCTCACTCTTTGGCTCAGAGACTGACTGATTGATAAAATGTGCGACCATACTGTGAAATTGAGCTAGTCTCCAAAGCAGGGCTGCCACACACATATTGCTATTAGAAGCAGCTCCTGCTCATGCTATAGTCCTGAATCACACCAGCAAAGTATTGGGCCAGTTGGCCCAGATCAACCATGTAAGAATGTAATACTGAAGAATACTATTGGGAAGAGATGCCCTGGTGTGATCACCTTTCCTGCAGGATCCTGCAAAACTTTCGTGACAATTGTCTTATTGGTGGCTGAGGAGGAAACAGACCAGAATGTGGGGCAGCTACTCAGTGCCCTTGAGATTCTGGATACTCTTGCAGCCATCAGGAAACACTAATCCACTGTGTCCTCTGTGGGTCAGTGTTGTGCAACTCCCAAGGCAGACTGTGCTGTGGAAAGCAGGTCCTCCCAAAAAGGCCAGAAGTAATGGAAACATGTCACAGCCAAGTCTAGAACTGGTCACCATCACCAAATCGCCGAATAGCTCTGGCCCAGATCCACAGAAATCCCATCTAGTCTTTCCTCTGGGCTGAACCTGCACTGCCAGAGGCAGTCCCACAGCCATGCTTGCGCTGCACTCCAAGCACAGCTCTTGGCTCCTGCCTGAGTCAACAGCTGCCCTTGCCCAATGTACAGGGATTTGAGTTTGCTGCTACACAATATTTGGCATGTATAAAGGCTTTAAATACATGCTAGACCTACAGACTGTGGTCTGAACATTTTTGAGGAGTGGGCAGTTCTGTTTAAAGTAAATGCTACTGAAAATTCAACAGTAACAGCATCATGAGCAAGAAAATGCAGGATTAATAATGGGGTAAAAAAAGCAATAAATCAGTGTATTTTCCTGGTGCTTTGTCAATACCAACTTTAGACAACTTCATTACAGAGTTGAATATGCAGGCCACAAGCTTCTTACAGATCAGTCAGCTTAACCAAAAATCCCTCTCTGCTATCAAATCTATTTGAAAGGAATAATTTGGGGAAGATGAACTGAACTGTATTGACAAGCTATGTCTGCTATCTCTGAAGGAATCACTGAAGAGCACGTCTTTCTTTATTTTTCTGTGCAATTCCCAATCTTCCTTCTTTGTACCAATTCCATGATGTCCCTTACAGAATTAGTGGTTGTGAAGAGGCGAGAGCATAGCATTGTAGCTTCCCATACAGGGTTACAACCTGCCTTACATTGCTTAAAATTTGGTCCAAGTCATGCTTCAACTGTAAATTACCATTTTTTTTTTTGTGATGAAAACTATATATTGTATACAAATACTGACACCATGCATGGAAACCTTGGAGGGCTGTAATCTCCAAGGACCTGTATAAATGGTGAAATTCAAAAGAACTATACTGGTGTGAAACAAAAGACCCAAACCTGATTGATGAGGATTTGGGCAGCGTCTCATTAAAAAAACCACAAAGCACAAACCCAAAAGTGTGTAATATGTCCCCATACATGGGCTGCAGTCATGCCTGTAAACAGATTTTTTTCTTCCATGAGCACACAGGGATGGTTTGCACAGGAAACAAGTGAGAGCTGCTAGGCAGATACACTTGTTAAATGTAGTCACTCCAAATTTGGGAGCACATTCCATTTCTTGGCCTTGGGCGAGGCAGGGGTTTTCCAGAGCACTCCTCCGAGCTGCGTCAGAGAGCATTTGGTCTGGGCATGACATCTCAGATGCATTGATTTTATTTAGAACACACTTCAGCTCTGCAGGCTGCAGAGGCAAGGTGCCACACTTCAGCAAGAAGGGGAAGGACTATAAATAGAGCAGGCTGGGCTGCCACAGGCAGCTTTTCCTGGTTTAGCCTTGAAGAAGCAGAAATCCAATCTGCTGAGGAGATGATGCACAGTACAGGCACAAGCAAGAGCTCTTCTCTCCAGACAGTAACTGCCTTTCATTTTGCAGGTACATAGGTACAGCCACTTACCTTTTAAGGAACAAGGACACACCACCTTCCATCTGTGCTTTCCTCCAGCTCTCAGTTTTTTGCAAGCTCCTTATATGCAAATTGTCATGTTTTCATGAAACTATGTGTTGCCCTCTACTCATGAGGGGAACACATTCCTTCATTTACAAAAGAAGGAATAAAATGAATCTCAAAATTAAGTGCACAGAGGTAACATACATTTCATATTTTTGAGGCCTATGGAGCTTTAAGAATTGTTGTTTAATAGTTCTTGCTCTAAGTTGTATCCCATTAGGAGATCTCCCCAGAATTGTTTGAATTAAAAAGGGACATTTTTGCTGCAGGACAAGTACATAAAAATAGCACCAAGAGCCCAGTCCTATGCTCAGGAGATTTTTGTTTTCCCTTGCAGTTACCTACACTGAGAGTTTTTTCTTACGTCACACTCTGGTTGATTTGGTTACTGTTAAAGAGAGAAAACTTATTTCTACCTATTTCCACAGCCTTTCACACCTTTCAGTGAGTATATTTTATTTACAGCACAAAGCTAATGGAAGCCGTCTTTGAACAGTGCATTTTAGACTCAAAGCACTTGAATTCTTTGAATTCCACACCCCCAAAGCTGCAGCCAAGAGTGCAGAGTAATGGTTCCCTCCTGCTGGAATGCACCCTAAGAAGGACAACATTTGAAATAATTTCAGAATATGCTCTCAATATTACACCATGCACAAAAGGAGATGGGGTTACTTGGGTCAAAAAATTCAGATACTAAATATTACACTTGAAAACAAACCATCAAGTCTTAGGGAAGACAAATGAATCTCATAAATCTTTGTCTTCCACAAAATATTTAGCCTACATTGCCTGTGTTTTCATCCCTGCTGGCCCTTGCTAAATATGAAATACAAGAACCTAAGTTTGTAGAGGAGAGTATCAGTGACCTACTAAAACCAAGGACTTCCACAGACACACCTTGCTTATGGTCTACTGTAATGTTCCTCCTGCCCACCCTCTGCTACAGAGGCATGAAGGATTTCTCCATTCCACAAAGTTTAGGGTTTATTAGCCTGTTAGGTTTTTCTATACATATCTTCTCTAAATCTCTGGATGTTTGAATAATATACTTTGTTCATATTAAGAAAACACTACACAATTTTATTTGTAGAATATCAAGTTGAAAACAGATATAAAAGCAACAGAACATATAAACTTAACAGGAAACCAAACTAAAATAATAAAACAGTGCACTTTACTCGATAGTTTAATTTCAGTATGATTTTCAATAAAAACCTTACTCCTTTAAACCTGAGTACTTTAGCCTTTGTTATGCTTTCTCCATTGTAGTAAAGAATCCTAAGTCACTTAAACAAACATTCTAATTAATAAATCCAGTAACACAACAAGTTTCTGTAGTGGTTCCCACTGCATGAATGCACATGGACAACACTATATCAAATAAAGCCAAACCATTTAACAAGCGTGAAGAGATTTGCAATATGAATAAACTGAACACAAACCCAAGTGAACTCTGCAATTACAGAGCTGTGTTAACACAAAGGCACATTTTATTTTCATTGTAAATTCACATTTCTAGAAGGTTAAATTTTGTGCCCAGGCAACTTCAAGTCATGACAGCACAATCAGCCAAACAACTCTGATTGCACGTATCTGATCTTTCAATAGAAAAATCTGGCTTCTATTTCTTTAATCCAGTTTTATTAAAGAAGAAATTAAATTAGAAATAGAAGGGCTCCCCCTCCCATATTTACAGACTGCAAACTATATTGCTTTCTCATCAGAAATTCTAGTTTTCTTGTCAAATTTTGTTAAGCTTTGTAACTATCAGCACCCTCACAGTTTGGTCGAAAGCCCCACAGACACAAAGTCCCTTTTTGTCAGGGCTCCAGTCCAGGCTAGAGATGGGCTGTGTTGACAGAGTCACATTCTGCAAGAGACTAAGAGACCCTGCCACGCCCATCTCAGATCCTTCTGAATCTTTCTTCGAGCGCTGGGCTGGGTACTCACTGCCAATGAGAAAATTAAACAAAAACAGCTACTTAGAAATGTATTGATACAAATACATCATCATTGTCTTTATTTCCTGCTCTACAGATAAGGCAAATAAATGTCTTAAAAGTAATGAATAATCATATCCAGCTATATCTACACTGCATACTTTAGTAGACATTTCATGAAAGAAAAAAGGATGTTGGAAATTTTGAATCCTGACACCCCTATCCTACAGATCTTCATTTTCTAACTGGTTGGCTTTTACCACAGCCAGAAAACTTTCATCACAACTATGCTTCTGAAACTTAATGCACCAACTCATTGCATTTAAGACTATTAAATTATTTTTCCATGTAATGTAAAAAAATGTAAATATAAGAATGATTAAGTCAAGGCTTTCAATATTTTTCTCAGATGTAACTGCTACCATATTAGAATTTCAAGAAACCCATTTTTTTTCCATTTTTCACCTTGTCAACCAAGGATATAATTAGATCTTCATTACATGAAGACAACAAGGGCAAGACTCACCTGTGCTGTAGCATTCTTTTAGGGATTAATTCAAGATTCCAGATCAAGTACTGACACTGAAATCACCCTTTCTACAGCATTTGTAAGCAATAATTTTAACCAGATATTCTGAGATTGGAAGCAGGACCCCACTCATCATTTTCAGGAAGATTCTTTCTTAAAACATTAAATGGTTGATTTCTTAGTCCTGGATGGAGAAGTGATCACTTACTATTTCCAGAGATGAAGGCTCCCAGATCCTCCACTTGTCATAAATATATCTCTGTTCTGTGGCAGGTGCCGAACCTGCCAAATTGTAGATTTTTGTGCCTAACAAAAGGAAATCAGCATTGTACAGAAGTCATTTGGAGATGAACTTCATTGGAAAGGACACAGAATCTTAAAACAGAGATCACTTGTATGAAAAGAGGCCAGCCTTCCCATAGTGGATGGTTAATTTCATTGTATGATATCTCTTAAAATCATTACTGGAAGGGACTATATTACACTGTGCAAACAAAATACACAGTCAACAACTCAAACCTCAGCCAGGGAACTAAGATCATATAGCAACAGAAATCACTTTGGGAAAAACCCCAACACGTCCTCTGACTTAATGTATATCTGTCTGCAAATGTCCACAAGGAAAAGCTTAAATGCGCTAAATGAACAACAAATTCTATTTTCACATTTTATTACAAAATTATTTATAAATAAGTAAGTTAAATTTATTGTTTCATTCTCTAAAAAAATTCTTTGATTCAGAATCAAGTACCTCCAACACCTTATCTGCTCTGAATGATAGCATAGAAAATACTAAGAGATACTAAGTTGAAAGTCAGCCTTTTCTAAAAAAAGGAAGTCCTAAAGAACTTCACCATAAAAGTGCCTTTTCTTGAATTACCACCAGATCTTGTTCACTAAAAAAACCAACCAACCAAACAAAAAAAACCCAAATAAAAACCCAAAACCAAAAAAATAAGAAAACCACCACAAAAAAACACGAAAAAATTCACAAAAAACCAAACCAAACCAAACAAAACAAAAAAAAACCAAACAAAACAAAACAAACAAAAAAAAACCACGCAAAAAAGCAACACCAACCAAACCAAACAAAACAAAAAAATTATGAAGTAACCTGGGCATTTCTTACCTATTTGTACTACACCTGTAGTAATTTGACAGCATGAATTTAGAAAGTTTGTCTCTTATTAAGAAATTCTCAGTCTCCCCATACCTTCTCTGAAACAGAAGCAAAACCTTTGGCTGGATGCTGAGTTCTCATATCAAAAACATGGAATTTTCCCTCAAGTGATGTGGCCACCAGCTTATTCATATTTATATCTTTTCTGTCAAACTCCACACTGCAAACCTGGATATAGAACAAGATAAATTCAGTCTTGTAATTTAGTCACTGTTAAAAAAAATGGGTGTTTTGTGATTTGGAAATATGTATTAATCATTGCTTAATTCCACAATAATTTCATCATCAAACAGGAAATAAACATGTTGATCTGAAAACATTAATCCACTGAAAAATGTCCTCATCAAGAATGTGAGGGGTACAACATGCTGAGCCTAAAGAAAATTATTCCTTGGTACAATCTCAGCAGAAACATCTTCTGGGTAAGTTTCACACAGACAGAGTCCTTTTAATTTTTCCATCCTTCATAGGAGCTGGAATGAAAAATACTTTTGTGATTTCCTTACCCCATTCTTAATGTTGGTCTCCCATCGTAGTGACATGGTTTTTAAGTCAAACAATTTAATGTCCCCATTGTCATATCCGGCACATACAACACGTTCCTCTTGATTGTAAGCATTACCTGGACACAGAGAGAGAATTTACCAGAAAACACAAAACCTCTTTAGCCTGTAAATTTCAGAAGTTCCAGGCCTGCAGTTTCAACTTCCATTTATACAACAACAACAACAAAAAGTTGTTGGGATATTAAGATGTGCTGAACTGGATGATTTTCAAACCTGAAGGGTCTAGAAAAATCTTGTGTAGGACACAAGCAACTTTGCTCTCTCCAAAGAAAAATGCAGAGCTGACATCAAGCATTGCTGTTTTCTTTAATTTGCTCTTAAGCTTCAAGGGACTTCTCTTAAATTAACTCCTTAATGCTTGGTAGCTGCAACTACACTACAACAGTGGTGAGTTCCCGGTACATGGCAACATTTACACTCCTTCCGGACCACACAGCTAAATACACTATTTTTACATTTCTAGACACATAAATAAAGCTTGCGCAGCTTATCTGTGAAACCACAGAATCGTCAAATCATTTAGGTTGGAAAAGACCTTCAAGATGATCAAGCCCAACTACAAACAGTGACCAAAAGTGATTAGAGAATAAATCCAAAACCCACCTATCACAAACCCACAAAACTGGTTTATTTTGAAGAAAAAAACCCACACATAAATTTAACAGTGTAGAAAAGTAAAACCTGCTACTTATGCATCCATGCAAAATAAAGTATTCCATAACATCCTGAAATACATTGACAATCATCAAAACACAATCATGTGAGAGGGAGGAATGGTCATAATCTGATCAATTACCAAATGCCACAGTCCAGCAGTCTCTTTTGCTCTCCCCCTGTACAGGTTCCATATTAGCCACAGGAATGTCATTCTGCCTTGGGTCCCACACCTTCACAGTTCCTGGGAAAGACAACAGATTTTGTATTAGGAATACACTGTCATACTGTGTTCACCTTCCCAGGAAAGCCCTTTGCTTTTCATCTTAATCATTCAAAAGACAGGAGCAACTCTTTCAATTCTAGCAAGCCGCGCTGTGTTTTGCGGACATAAGAAAGAACAACAAAACCAAACAGAAACAGAGTGAAAGCATTTGTTAAAGATGTATTTTCTCAAGCTGATATTTTGCATTTATCATGGTTTGTGTTCCTTCTGTCTCGTGTCCAGTGACAACTGTACCTTTTGCTTATCTGTGGCTTCTAAAAGAACTAGAGAAAATCGGTCCCAAGAAAGATTCAAAAGACAGTGTACAAAGAACTAGTTGCAACAGCTTGTAACTAGTTCAGATGGCAGACTATGCCCTGCCATCAAGAGCTTGCAGGCTCACACAAACTGGGAAGACTTGCAGAGTTCACTAACTCACCATCTCGACTGCCAGTCACAATTTCTGGTGCACCTTCCCCAATTCCTAAGCCACCTACACCATCTATACTGTTTATGATTTCCTTATGACCTTTCACAGAATACACTGGTATTTCAGGAGCTTCTAAATTCCTAGGCAAGAAAGAAAAAGAACAGAAAACATGGCATTTTTCCTTGACACTCAGGATTTGTAAAAAAATGAAAGGAAACTTGAGCACAAATCATGAAAGCTCAGATTAATGGTGAGAACAAATATGGATATCATCATAAGAACCATGAGTCTTTGTTTGATTCCTTCTTTGGCTACTGCTTTGGACTTCTCCAAAAGATTTGGCTCTGTTCTGGACCTCCCTGTTTGTAAAGGCAGTTGTGAGATTCACCACAGCAACCACTCAGACCCAGTTTTACACGCTGGGCTCAAAAATGAATCACACTACAAATCAAGATACTCCAAGTATCTTTTCTTTCAGTAGGTCTATAAAATAATTTGATTCATTGATCCCCACCTAGCTCTGACTACTGCTAACTTCAGGTGACTATTGTATCCAGCCATGAGTTTCATGGTTCTTTCCCACTGATTCCCATTCTTTGAGAATCCTTCAAAATTTTATTTTACATTTCAACTAGTAGCTGTCTATGTAAGTCTTGCTATTCCAACAAGAACCAGTAGCTCCTTGACACAGGGCAATATAATAATGATAATAAAAAAAATCCCTTTTGACACTACTACTTTATTTGATCATAAATAAATTTACCTAGACATTAATTACACCAGTAATTCAGGGACATAGAGGAAATATTTGAAATGTCAAGATTAAAAATATATATTTAATCTAGACATGAAATTTAGGTTGAACACAACCTCTTGTTTGTACTCATGCATCCATTCAAAAGCCTCTATCAGAGGATAACCCCACAGAACTTCAACAGGTTTTTGTAGCTGCACACAGAAGATGGAAGTGAAGCAGCACTGAATTAAACACGGTGCAGAATTCTGTGTTGTTTCTACAAAACAGGCATGGTCCAAATACAACAGCCAGTGAAGCCTGCACTAGGTCCTAACCACGCATGGGTAGCATGGAGAGCATCTCATGCAAAATCCACAAACAGAAACCTCTGTTCAGACAGACATGGACAACATCAAGTGAAAATGCTTCCAGAAAATATCTGTGCTTACCATATGTTAAGGTTTCCATCGAAATCTCCTGTTGCTAAGTATCTTTGCTGCAGAGATGTAGCACCAAAAGTTCCACATTTTATAGGTTTGGGCTTTTCGATCTTTTAAAGAAAGGAAATGTCTGTGTCAGCACATGGAAAAGGCAAACACACCCACAGGCCACACAGTTCTCAGGAGTGCACAGGGGCAAGGGTCAGCGAAACACACATGGGATATTTGGTGCAAAATACTACCAAAATGTTATTGAAGGCAAGCTGCACTTTGAGTTCAGTCCTTGTGCACAGAAAAGCAGAGGGTCGAGGTTACTGGTCTGGAAGAAAACGCTCTGCTTGTGGCCTAGTGGGGCCTTATGCACCTGAGGAACTGCTACGTCTCAGAAGAAGTGAACACTCAAAGGTCAATCTGAGAGTAAAAACCAACCAAACAAAAAAGCAAAAAACCAACCAACCAGCCAAAAAACCCCAAAACCCAACCAACCAACCTAAAACTCCCCCCCCAAAAAAAACCCCAAACAAACGAAATAACACCCCCAAAAAAGCCAAACACAGGCAGAAACCAGAAACCCATAACACAACACATGAAAACAACCTACAAAACACAGCAGTAAACAAAATCACAGAATCACAGCCTCAGTTAGGTTGAAAAAGACCTCTGAGATGGTCGAGTCCAACCTATGACCGGCCACTACGTTGTCAACTAAACCATGGCACTGAGTGCCAAATCCAGTCTTCCCTTAAACATCTCCAGGGACGGTGACTGCATCACCTCCCTGGGCAGCCCATTTCAATGTCTAATCACCCTTTGTGTGAGGAAATTCCTCCTAAGGTCGAATCAAAACCTCAGCAGCTTAAGTTCTGTCAGTAGTTGCCTGGGAAAAGAGAGACTCCCACCCGGCTACAACCTTTCAGGGAATTGTGGTGAGCGTTTCTTTTCAAGAAACGACAGGGTATCAGTGAATCAGCACATTTAACATGCAAATCAGCTCCTGTTTTTTATCCCCGGGCTCTGGACAAACGTCCCGGCAGCTGTTCCCCAGGGGACCGTGCTCACCTCCCGCAGCATCTCCAGACGGGCTCCGTGCAGCTCGTACAGCTGGATGACACCGGTGCCGCGGGCGGCGCTGCCCAGGCACATCAGGCGGGCGCTGCGGGGCACCCACTTGCAATCGAACACGGTGTAGCTCAGCGCCTGCTGGACGTGCGACACCACCTGCGGCCGCTCCGGACCCAACACCGCCGACATTCCGCCCCACTCCTTCCCCTGCCCCGGCGGCTGCGGCGGAAGCGCCCGCCGGCCCCTTCCGGCGAGAGCCGTACCACGTGTGCTCTGCGGCCAGCATGGAGACCGAGGCGGCCGTGAGCGGCGGCTTCACCAGCGTCGTGTCCCGGCGGAGCCGGAGGAAGCGGCGGGCGGGCGGCGAGGAGCCGGCGGCGGGAGCTGCCATGGACACGGCGGAACCGCGGCCCAGCAAGAGGCCGGCGTTCCCACCCGTGGCCGCCGAGGCGCTCGGGGTACGCGGGGTGCCGGGGAAATGCCGCTCCCGGATGTCCGCTATCCCCCGCCTCACGGCCTGCTGCGTCTCGCCCCCGGTAGGTTGGGAAAGGTGAGCTGAGGAAGATCCCTGTGCCGGCCAACAGGTACACGCCGCTTAAGGAGAACTGGATGAAGATATTCACGCCCATTGTGGAGCATCTGCAGCTTCAAATCAGGTTCAACTTGAAAACGAGAAATGTTGAGATCAAGGTAAGGGAAGCAACTTCTTGGGCCTTCCCCGGTAAGTGAAGGTTGTGTGCAGACCTCGTAGCACCTTCCAGTGTCTGAAGGGGCCTCCAAGGAAGCTGGAGAGGGGCTCTTTGTCAGGAACTGTAGTGACAGGACAAGGAGTTACGTTTACAAATTGAAAGAAGGAAGATTTAGTTTGGATGTTGGGAAGGATTTTTTTTACTGTGAGAGTAGTGAGACACTGGAAGAGGTTGGCCGGGGCTGCCCCAACCCTGGCAGTGTTCAAAGCAGGTTGGATAAGGCCTTGAGCAGCCTGGTTTAGTGACAGATGTCCCTGCCTGTGGCAGGGGGGTTGGGACTAGATGATCTTATGGTCCACTCCAACCCTTTACCGTTCTATGATTCTGCCTCCTGAAAAGCAGGGCCTCTCCTCATGGCTGTTCTTGGTCCACAGATTTAAGACTAGAGAAGTCGTAAATCCCATATAATGCTTGGAAAAATGGAAACTGTGTGGTGTCACCTCCCCAGGGATCACATCTGGCAATTGTTGCTTAGAACAAGTAATTACTGCAAGTAAAATCCAAAACTACAGATCTGTTCCAGAAGGAGCCAGCAGAAGCTGGGGGAGTGTTCAGTTTTTGTAGGAGAAAGTTATGTACTATAGAAAGTTATGTACATTAAGGAAGAATTTTCATCCATGCCTTAGATACGATTTTGTAATTCAATGTTTTATGGCCATTTAAGGTTACCAAATACTGATGTGACAGTAAACAGTGTCTTTTAAGGGGGCACTGAATCTCCTAATGCCTTTGTTTGTGGCAGACGATAAGGGCCCATAGTTTAATAGCATGTGATTTTTCTTTAATGGATTGCAATGGAATACCTTAGGGCACAGACACCAGTATAAACCTATAATTCTTGTAGATACTCATTCTTTATCCTTATTCCTCTTGAGGAATGTTCACATCAGGAATTTTTGAGGGCATATCTAAAGTTTTGACATATGACTCACTGTATTAGCACCACTGACATGACAGATCTTCCAATGTTATAGTGAAAATACAACAGGAATTTTGCTTCCTAACCATGAAATGTTATCACAAGTTTGATGGCAGATATTGGAGGAAAGGTGACAGAATTATCCCTTTACTTTACTTCCTAGAAATAACCTCATGGGAAAGGTAGGGAGGAGCAGGAACTCCTGCAGTTTCACTCCATAACTGTGCAGGAGAAAACCCTGGGATTTTAACACCACCTTTTGAGATGAAATGATGTCTGGTGAAAAACAAGGTAGTTTTGTTCTTAATCAAGGTAATTTTATTTTGCCCATATCCATCATCAATATAAAACTTTGAAATTCATTTCATTCATCTGCTAAGGTATATTTAGAATATTGTCATTAGAATAACTCTCCTGACATCACCATCCTTCTCTTTTTCCTGCTGTTTGCTGTTAGAGTTTAGTTGGTGGTATTTTTGGGTTTTCTCCACTAATAGGGTTCTACTCAGTCAGTGGTGGTGTGGATTTTCAGCAGCTTTTCTCTTCTCTCCCCTCCGAACGCAGGCTGATCTTTAAAGTTCTGATCCTAACTTGCCTGGTCTTAATTTGCAAACGTAACTTCTTGTCTTGCAGACTTGTCAAGAGACAAAGGATCTCAGTGCTCTGACAAAAGCAGCTGATTTTGTGAAAGCCTTTATACTTGGATTTCAAGTAGAGGTGAGTCTCCCAACAACCAGATTGTGAGATTGCTCCAGTTTACTGGTCTGTTCCTGGCTTCTCTGCAAATTACAAAGAGAAAAATTACAGAGAGAAAAATCCTTAGCTGGTTTTCTAGAAATCAATGTTTTCTAGAAATTGTGACAGGAGTAGACATCCAGTTTCTTAAGATAATGCTGGATAAAAAAGTAGCCTACAAACAGCACATAAACAGAAAACATAGGTTGTGTGAGACAAGCATAAAGGAATAATCTCTCTCTGAGGTCCCCTGCACTGGTAGAGACTGCTCATTTTTCTTAAGCCCAAGCCAATAACCTCCAGTCTGTGCAAAACTCACAGAATCACAGAATTAACAAGGTCAGAAAAGACCTTTGAGATCATCAAGTCCAACCTATGACTTTATCAACTAAACCATGGCACTGAGTGCCACATCCAGTCATTTTTTAAATACCTCCAGGGATGGTGACTCTGCCAGCTCCCTGGGAAGTGCATTCTAGTGCCCAATCACTCCTTCTGTGAAGAACTTACTCCTAATATCCAGCCTAAACTTCCCCTGGTGCAGCTTAAGACTGTGTTCTCTTGTCCTATCACTGGTTGCCTGGGAGGTGAGACCAACCCCCACCTGGCTACACCCTCCTTTCAGGCAGTTGTAGAGAGTGATGAGGTCTCCCCTGAGCCTCCTTTTCTCCAGGCTGAGCCCCTCCAGCTCCCTCGACCACTTCTCATGGGACTTTTGTTCCAGACCCTTCATCAGACTTGCTGCTCTTCTCTGGGCACATTCGAGCATCTGAAAGTTCTTAAATTGAGGTGCCCAAAACAGTAGTGGACATAATAGTCAAGGTATGGCCTAACCAGTGCAAAGTACAGGGGAAGAATGACTTCCCTGGTCCTGCTGGCCACACTGTTCCTGATACAGGCCAGGATGCCATTTGCTTTTTTGGCCGTGTCGGTACACTGCTGTATTCAGCCAGCTGTCAGCTGAACCCCCAGGTTCCTTTCTACCTGGTTGCTGTTGTGGCCAAAGTGTAGGACCCGGCACATGGACTTACTAAACCTCATATTAATGGATTTGGCCCATCTATCCAGCCTGTTCAGGTCCTTCTGCAGAGCCCACCTAGCCTCCAGCAGATTGCCACTTGGGCTTGCAGCTTGGTGTCATCTGCAAATTTGCTAAAGGTGGACTACTCATCCAGATTATCAGTAGATACTAAATTGGACTGGGCCTGTTGGAGCAAACAAACCCACTTTTTTCAGTGTTGTAGGGGCTGCTCCTTGCTCAAGACCTGTACTGGATCCACTAGCACTGGGGAGGCAGGGCTGAATGCAGGGGCATCCAAACCTGTGTAGGATTCTCTAGATGGAAATATTTGTATTGCTGTTAAAAAAAAGTGGATTTAACTTTAGTTGTTATTTGCTAGGTTGTGTGTATAAAGAGAACAGCAGCTTTCAGCTGTGTTACTGGAACAAAATAACTGCTGATAACAGATCTCCTGCTCTTTTAGGATGCCCTTGCTCTCATCAGATTAGATGATCTTTTTCTAGAGTCATTTGAAGTTACAGATGGTAAGTATTTTTTGATGCAGCATTCAAGAAGTCATGTGTGCATCCTGCTACTATGGATTTGTTTTTTTTTTCCCCCTGCTCCACTTTTATCGCTTGCCCTCACGGATCAGGAAAGTCAGAAACATCTAATTTTATGTAGTACTGGGATTGAGCAGGATCTAAACCTGATCTACTTTATTTCTACCAGTGTTAGCTTGGTGCACTTTGATTCCATTTCCTCAACACAAAGTGCAGTGCCTTTCTCTGCAGTTCTAAAGGAGACTTCTGCGAGCCAGAAACCCCATGTCAGCACTGGCTGCAGTGTGCACTACTAGTCAAAAAAAAGCTGAAATCCAGATGGATCTGTGTTGACCAGTGAAGTTGGTTTTGTAGTACTTGGCACAAGTTGTTTCCAGGAATACACACCACTGCTGTTACTCTGGTCATGCTATTCTCATTTCAGTCAAACCTTTGAAAGGAGATCATCTGTCAAGAGCAATAGGGAGAATAGCAGGAAAAGGTGGAAAAACCAAATTTACCATAGAAAATGTGACCAGGACACGCATCGTTCTTGCTGACACGTAAGTACAGACTGACTTCCTCCTAGGCAAAGCACAACCCCTCAGCTAATCCATGTCCTATACCAGAAACAAAGATAACTTAAATTTTATGAAACTGTTATAGAGTAGTAGTAAGAAAAAATATTTAAGAGAATATTTTAATGAATACAAGTTATTTCACCTTTTATTATGAGAATAATGGTGTCACCAGCGCATCTAGAATTCAGTCACTCCCCACAGCATAAGAATTCCTTATTATGAATAATCAAAGTTGAACTCACCAACACAGAAATGTTTTCCTCCTGAAGCTGCTACACTGTTAAATTTGCAAATGGTAAAATCTATTTTTAAAGGATTTAAAAGAGCACAAGTCTTATGTTGTAGGTTTTGTTGGTTTCGGCTGGGTTTTTTTTGTTTACAAGCGTAGAAAAGAAACTAGGACGCTGATACAAAATTCCACATTTATCTCTAACTTCCAGTTCTCTATTAACTGTGCAATCTCTTAAGTTACTGTTAACTACTGCTACTTTTCTTTTTACAGAAAAATTCATATTTTGGGATCTTTTCAGAACATTAAAATGGCACGAACAGCAATTTGCAATCTAATTTTAGGTAAGTCCTCTTATCTAATTTTCACTACATATAAATCTTGCAGTTTGAGAAACTGCTTTGTGGCTCTCACCTTCTTCCCTGTCCTGTCCACACCTATATTTGGAGTAAATAGCTTGCTG